AAATAATAAGAATAACAACAACCATTGCTATCATCTGTTAAGTAACAGTCTCATAATTGAGGTCCTATCACCCACTGTTGTTTCCTCTTTTCAGAAATCAACCAGATATCTGAACTCTAACATAAGCGAGAATGCATTTCTCCTAAGTTAAAACCATCTACATGTTTTCTAATCACTCCAAGTAGGGTCTGTCAGTCAGCATGCTCCCAGCCGATGTTCTGTTTGCTAGAGTTCCCACAGGTAACTGCGTTGACTGCTCCCTCATCCACAAATGTCTCCTCAGATAGCCTCGTGAAACCTCTGTGATCTCTTTTACAGTTATTTCCACTCAGCACACTCTTATCTGTTTTGCTGTTTAATTTTTCCTTATTTTTATAGAAGTTTATTTATTCATAATGAATACATATTTTATGCTTCATTACATATTTATGGGCTGAAGCGATAGCACAGCGGGTAGGGCATTTGCCTTGCATGCGGCAGATCCATGTTTGATTCTTCCACCCATGTCAGGGAGCCCGGCAAGCTACTGAGAGTATTTCACCCACATGTTAAAAGCCTGGCAAGCTACCCGTGACGTATTCGATATGCCAAAACAGTAACAAGTCTCACAATTTGTTGTGAGATGTTACTGGTGCCTGCTTGAGCAAATCGATGAACAATAGGAGGACAATGATACAGTGCTGTTGTTGGTGGGCCCCACGGGTGACTTATGTGAAGTGGGGAGGAGAAAGACGGTCACTTTCTCCCCACCCGCCTCTGCCACCCGGGACCCTGGGTAGGCTAGGACCGGTAAAGTCTGCAGTGAGCACCTGCTCGGCACGGGCCTAAGCCCCACCAGCCCCACAAGGTGGCCGTCAAGACACACCTGAAGTCCGCTTGATCTTCTCGGCACGGAAGTTAATCCCCGCCACCCGATTGCTCGGGGAGCCACAGACTTAAGTTGGGGCAAGAATTCGCTCTTTGCAGGAAAGGAGAGACCAGTCCCAAGCCTTACCCGGGGTTTCTAGGGTTCTTGTCTCGCTCGCAGAAAGGAATTTCAGGAGTAGACAACCAGTGAAGTAGCAGATTTTATTTGGAGGCTTTTGGAGAGGGAGAGAAAGGGATAAGCAGATAAGCAGGGGAGAGAAGAGAGAGTAACGCGTCCAGAGGGAACGCGGGCTTCTCCGAGGGTGGAGAGAGCACCAAGTGGGTTCTCGAGCTGGTTCTTATAGATCCTTCTGACTCAGAATGTTCTGGAATCTCCTTGGGGCTTGGTCGCTGGAGTTAACCGTATTGAAAGGGGGGTTTTCGGAAAGGAGGAATTTCATGGGGAGGAGGCCCATATCTTCAGGGTCTGGGGATGGTCTTATCAAGTCTTTATTCTCTTTGTCCACAGGGTGGGTCCGTCCTAGAATTCTTCTTCTATGAGACTTTGTTTCATTGCAGAGAGCCTTTCCCTATCTACCTGACTACATCAGTGCTACGTATTTATTATCTGCATCAACCTAGGCTTATAAGCAACATAAAAGCAGAGATATTTTAATTTTTATTTCCTTAGTGCATAGAAGTGTATGAGACCTAATTGTCAATATTTGGCTTAATTCGTTAGCTAATGTATATACTGAGTCATTTCTTTATATACATATATATTTATATATAATATATAACATATAATATAATGTGTTATTATATATTATATAATATATAATATATTATATATATTAAGTATAATATAATATATATTATATTATATTATATATTATATATTATTATATTATATAATATATTGTTACTGTATCTGGCATATCTAATACGTCACAGGGAGCTTGCCAGGCTCTGCCGTGTGGGCGAGATACTCTCGGTAGCTTGCCGGGCTCTCTGAGAGGGGCGGAGGAATCGAACTCAGGTCGGCCATGTTGGCTGCGTGCAAGGCAAACATATATATTTATATATAAGGTAAAGGTAAAGGCCCTCCCGTTGATCGTCGATTTGCTCGAGCGGGCCCAGTAACGTCTCCATTGGAGACTTTTGTTGTCACTGTGTTTTGGCATATCGAATACTCTCGGTAGCTTGCCGGGCTCTCCGAGAGGGGCGGAGGAATCGAACTCGGGTCGGCCATGTTGGCCACTTGTAAGGCGAACGCCCTACCACTGTGCTATCGCTCCAGCATATAGCTAATGTATATACTGAGTCATTTTTGTGCTTGGGTTTCAGTTATACAATGATCCTGTACCCATCCCTCCACCAGTGCCCGTTCTTCATCATTTACGTTTTTAAAAAAAATTTTTGTTAGTGAAACACCATGAGCTACAGTTGTAGATTTACAAATTTTTGTGCTTGGGTTTCAATTGTACAATGGTCAAACACCCATCCCTTCACCAGTGCCCATTTTCCACCACCACGAGTCCCAATATCCCTCCCACCCCCCCCATCCCCATTGTCCCACCCTGCCTCTGTGGCAGGGCATTCCCTTTTGTTCTCTCCCTCCTTTTGGTTGTTGTTTTGAGCCTTCTCTGGGCTGATCCACCAAAAGTTAATCAGATTAAAAGATGCAAATGTGTCTGAGGGCTGATCAGATCTTGTTTTCTTCCCAAAATTTTGTTGATCTAAATTTCATAGCCAAGGGCCTTTCCCTGTCTACCTGCCTACATCATTACTATGGCACTTACAATCCAGTAAAAATGGTAATTTATTAGGTGAGTAGTAATAACTCTACACAGGGCATTTTACTTGATTCTTAGCAGTCCACTTTAAAGATGAGGGAACAAATTTGAAAGGATCAAATAACTTGCTCAAATTCTCTACATTTTATTTTTTTTCTGTGACTATGTGTTGCATCCAAAGAAATAAAATAGGTATATTCTGACAATAACAATCCCTTTGGAAGTTATAAAGACCACATCTATTTTTAAAATATTATACTACTTCTTGTTCAAACAATTAAGCTACTAAATTATTTATTAAATATGCTGGTATATATTTGTAGATTCTTTAAAACTCTAGATGTTTGTGACTGCATCTATTCCTGTGAATTTCTAATGTTTTTTCACAATGCCATCTCTCTGCTAAAATAACCTAGTTCAGTAATTTTATTCTCTTCCCTTTTTGTGGTTACTGGGTGATGATACGCTTAGGGGCTTCAGTGCTTGTGATTATTCCATCAAAGCTAGAGATAGTACTTAGTAGTAATATGAGGTAGCGTCTTGGATCCTCTTCACATGTAAAAACTATGCACGCTGAACGTTGTGTGTTCACGGGCTCTCTGGATGGCTCTGTCTCACCGCCCGTGTTGGGTGCTCTTGAGTCACTGTGTGTGGTGTGGGTAGGGAAGGCTGTTGGCCAAGGGCAGATGAAGGAAGAGTCAGGTTGGTTGTTCTTTATTGCGTTTTTTTCCAATCCTCTCTTCATTCACTCCTGTCTCACCTCTCCTCTCTCTCCAACTCCTTATCTCTCCAGGCTGACACTGCATCAGTCAGGTAGCCAAATCAACATAAGAAAGCCCTTCCTGAGGGCCTACCAAGTTCAAAGGGAACACCACCTAGAATATTCCAAAACCCTTCCTGACTACCCAAAGGCAAAATACCTCCTAGCATGTTTTTCTCCTTTCCTCAGTCCAATAACTATTAACATATCAATACTAGTTATTTTTGTATGGACACTGTAAGAAATAACATTGAGGCTTGTAGGGCAGCTCTCCTGGGAACATCTTGCCACAGACTCAGACTACAGCGCTCAGGCCAGATTAATCTTTCCTAACCCTAGCAAGGGTCCAAATCTGGTTATTACTTTTTGCATCATGACAGCATTTGTCCATGACCAAGCTCTTAACTTATAGTTAAGCATTATGGCGCTTTGGCCAGGCCCATCTCCATGCCAGGGTAGCACATAGCTTACCACTTGCCCTGGTTCCATCCAGTCCCTCGTCAGGACTGCTTCTGGGAGCACTAGGAAGTAAAGGCAGCTGAGGGTTAGGTGAGAGAACAGATGCCCAGGAGGGAAATATCACTGAGAGTCACATTACAAAAGCATGTCTTCTTGTGTCCGTACAAAAAGTACATTGCTCTCAATAAACGATGCAAAGGACCTAGGGAGAAGAGAAAAACAATATTTACAAGTCAACAGAGCACAAAGATAGAAGTTACAAATAAACACAGAGGAATTGGAGCACTGTGATGGGAGCAACCTAATAAACCTAAAATACCTGAGGCTATGCAGAAATGACAAAACAGTGTTATCCTACACACACATATGCATAACAGGTACTCTGCCACTGAGTCACATCCCCAGGACCCCCAAATAACTTTAGATTATTACTCTGCATTCCAGAAGTATATGTTAGCTCCTATTATTAGCATGATGACTTATGTCTATGCTTTAAATCATTCTTAAAATTATTAAAGAATATTTTTATAAATCATAAGTATAATAATTTTACAAATTATTTCTTGTTTTCAAAAACTGCTGACAGCCTTTATCTTATTTATTTATTTATTTATTTATTTATTTTCCGAATTAACCTGCTCTGGTCCTATTCTCAGTTGTCTGAGATGTAGCATGGTCTCACAGTTTGACTGTGGAAGTTTTCCGGGGCATCCGTCCTGGTGAAACTTTCACAAATACCTTGGTGCCCTTGGTTGTATCACTGTATCACTGTCACCCCATTTTTCATTGATTTATTTGAACCGGCGCCAGTAATATCTCCATTCATCCCAGCCCTGAGATTTTAACAGCCTCTCCTTACTCGTCTTTCCCAACGCTGCCATATTTGGAGTCTCTTTCAAGGGTCAGGGAAATCAGACCTGTTATTTTTACTATTTTTGGCATAGCCATGGGTAGCTGTCTCAGGGGAGAGGTGCCAGGAATTGAACTTGGAATGGCTGCATGCAAGTCAAGTGCCCTACCCACTATAATATCGCTCTGGTCTCTCATCATCTTCACTTCTAGAGAAGGAATAAGGAAAGTCTATTCTTAACAAAAGTGCAGCTTCTTGTGTAACTTTCACCATGTTTGTACTTGGTCAGGAACCTACTGCCAGCAGAGAGAGGTGGAAGCCATCATGGAAGGTGATGAGGATGACAGAGGCTGCTGTTGCTGCAAACCAGGTCATTTGCCCCATCTGTTATCCTGCAATGCTGCCTTTAACCTCCGCTGGCTCACCTGGGAGATCACCCGAACACAGTACATCCTAGAGGGCTACAGCATCATAGATAACAACGCGGCTACCATGCTGCAGGTTTTCGATCTCCGAAGGATCCTTGTCCGATACTATATCAAGGTATGTTTGAATGACATTGCTGGGCTGTTTAAAGAGGTTTCTGAAATGGTTTTTGAAGAAATAGAGTTTAAAATTTCTCCTTATTTTCTGACTAAGAGACCAAAATAAGTTTGGGAATCACTAGTTTATGAAAAGTGTCAAGGGCTTTGGTTCATCCTGAGTCTGTGCCCCTTGTCGTATTCTCTCTCTCTCTCTCTCTCTCTCTCTCTCTCTCTCTCTCTCTCTCTCTCTCTCTCTCAATTCATATTACTCCGAAGGGTACCACAGTATATTCTTATGAGAGGCACAAAAGATAATCTCTCAAGGGTCCCAGAAAAAAAAAAACAGTTATCTAAATAGCTGTTGGGAACTAAATCTAAGAAGGAAGAAAAAGGGAGTTGAGAGGTAACTTAGAGAGTGATTTATCCAGTTCAAGGGAGACTCTTATACATAAATAAATTGGACAACTCTGGGCCTGAAGATAGTTGAAATGGTAGTTGAGTGTCTAGAATGTGCAACACTCTACATTTGATTCTTGGTGCAGTATGGTCTGAGCACCACCAGGTATGACTCTGTTGGTCCCAAGCAACACTAGTCCCTTGGGGCAAGCATTGCTGGGAATAGAACCAGGTGCTAGGTACTATCAGATATAGCCAGGAAGGAAGGAGTTGGAATGATATGTCTAATTAACATCTATACAGTAAAAGTTTCTAATAATCTTATAGTGAAAGCTTTTAAGATTTAAGCTCTTAACAACTTTCAATTAGTAATACAGTATTACTAACTGTAGTATTATTAACTATAGTACATCACCTCCTTAGGACTTAACTCAAAATTAAAACTTATGACTTATTTCCCTCATTTTATCTAACCCTAGATTTACCATGAATTTGTTCTTTGTATCTATGAGCATGGCATTGTGTTATTTTGAGTTCATATGGTATTTTTCTTCCTCTGATTTATTTCATTTAGTCTGATACTCTCAAGAGACATCTATTTTGTTGCAAATGAAATAATTTGGCTCTTTAATTAAATAATATTTAAGTATGTGTGTATATATATATCATATTTTCTTTATTCATTCTTCTATTGAGCCATAGCCCAGCAGGTAGGGCATTTGTCTTGCACGAGGCCAACCCAGTAGACCCAGGTTCGATTCCTCCGTCTCTCTCAGAGAGCCTGGCAAGCTACCGAGAGTATCTCACCCGCACAGCAAAGCCTGGCAAGCTACCCATGATGTATTCAATATGCCAAACACCGTAGCAACAAGTCTCACGATGGAGACGTTACTGGGCCCACTCGAGCAAATCAATGAACAATGGGAGGACAGTGCTACAGTGCAATGCTACAGTGCTATTGATAGACAACTGAGGTTTTTCCCATGTCTTGCCCAAGCTTTCTTTTGGCTAATATTTGCTAGTAATAACTTTAAATGTTCTGTCCCTGTATTTTATTTTGTGTGCATTCTTATATCAAAAGTAAATCTGCTATAGGCAGCATATAAATGTGATGGAAAACAGTTATCCCCAACATGCTTGGACACGTTGCACACACGTGGGGCAAAGGAAGACAAGTGCTCAGAGATCCCCCCTCCCCAGGAGCAGTTGATTGCCAATTACACAGGATTTTATAAAGAGTCTTGATTTATAGGAAGTCCAATCACATAGAGCTTTTAACACTACTGGCTTATCACTTTTTCCTCTCTACTTTGTCCAATCCCCTTCAAGTCAATAAGTTGTGGTTAGGATGATTTGCTTAAGGCATATGTGATGATTTCTTTGTTTCAGGCAAATGTGACTAAGAATTCCTGTGAGGCTCAAGGTTGGATACACGATGCAGACACCCTGTTTTGCTATCTCTGTCCAGTTACTCTCCCGTTGGAGGGTTTAGTTCAGGGTCACTTTACAAGGTCAGGTCAGGGTTTTCCTGCTCCAATGTCCATCGCTCTGCTCCACACAAATGTGTCATATATATATATATATATATATATATATATATAAAAATTCTCTGTCTTGACTTGAAAATTTAGTCCATTTACATTTAAAGTTATTATTTAGAAGCATGTATTGGTTATATTTTGTATTAATTTGTTCTGACTTAATTGTCCAATCAGGCATATTCAAAGCTTAGACACCAATAGGAGATTTATTCTCTTATCTATATCTGCTTCTTCAGTTCTAACACAGCATAAATTGCTTAATATAAGATCAGGGATAAATTAAAGCACTCTGAAAATTCTACCGAGCCTCAGTATTTACAATTTATAAATGTTAATGTTGATGTTCTATCAATAATCTTTGTATTCAGAAGTATTTTTGATACTCATAATAAAATTTAAAATAATAGCTTAATGATTCATTCAGAAGTAGTTATGACAGCCCTCCCACCTCACTTATATGGGACTAAACATCTTTTTTTTTTTATTAGTGAAACACCATGAGGTACAGTTGTAGATTTACAATTTTGTGTGCTTGGGTTTCGATTATACAATGATCAGATACCCATTCCTCCACCAGTGCCCATTTTTCCACCACCATGGATAATATCCCCCCCTGCCTCTGTGGCAGGGCAATCCCCTGTGTTCTCTCTCTCCTTTTGGGTGTTGTGGTCTGCAGAAGAGGCATTGAGTGGCAAACATGTTCAGTCCATAGTCTACTTTCGACATGCATCTCCCCTCCTGGGAGGGTCCTCCAAACACCCTTTATTTGGTGCTCCCTTCTCTATCTGAGCTGCCCTTTCCTCTAGAATGCCCAACTGGCCACTAAGCTATGGAGTAATCCTCCTGGTGCTGATCTCAGCTATTCTTGGGTATTAATCTCATATTTTGTTACTTTATATCCCCCAAATGAATGCAATCTTTCTATGTCTATCCCTCTCTTTCTGACTCATTTCGCTTAGCATGATATTTTCCATGTTGTACCACTTGTATGTGAATTTCATGACTTACTCTTTTCTAACAGCTACATAGTTCTCCATTGTGTAGATGTACCAAAGTTTCTTTAACCAGTCATCTGTTCTTGGGCACTCAGGTTTCTTTCAGTTTCTGGCTATTGTAAAGAGTGCTGCAATGAACAAACAAGTGCAGATGTCACTTCGACTATATATTTTTGCCTCTCTGGGATATATTCCCAGGAGTGGTATTGCTGGGTCAAATGGGAGCTCAATTTCTAATTTTTTGAGAATCGTCCATACTGTTTTCCAGAAGCCGACATTCCCACCAACAGTGAAGGAGTGTCCTTTTCTCACCACATGCGCTTTTGTTCTTTTGAATGTGGACCAGTCTCTGAGGTGTGAGATGGTATCTCATTGTGGTTTTGATCTGCATCTCCCTGATGATTAATGATGTAGAGCATTGGGACTAAATATCTTTATACTTTACCAAATATACAAAGCTATAATCAGACTGAAGGCATTTGCTAAGGGAAAGGTACAGGCAAGAGCAGGTAGGGTTCAGGAGAGTTTTATGATGGTTTCTACCCTGAGAGCACTCCGCATGATAAAAATTATGAACAGATGGCTCCATGTTTCAGTGCCACTCAAAGTCACTTGTCACTTGTCATCCATTTGCTCGATCATCAGTTTGCTCGAGTGGGCGCCAGTAATGTCTCCATTTGTCCCTGTCGTGTGCTAGTGTAGCCCAATGGCATATTTCAGGGTCAGGAGAATGAGGCCCGTTATTGTTACTGGTTTTGGCATATCGGATATACCACAGGTAGCTTTCCAGGCTCTGACACGTGGGCAGGATACTCTTGGTAGCTTGCCAGGCTCTCCGAGATGGACGGAGGCTTTTGGGGGCGGCCTCTAATCACTTTTACAGTTGTTCCCTGTAAAAGTGTTCCCAGTCTAGTGAATGCAAGCTTTTGGTCGACTGGTCGGCCTCGCTCCAGGAAAAACTGTGTTGCTTTCTTCCAGGAGCTTTGTTTTACAGTCTCTGGATCTTGGCCGTTGATGAGATTACATGGCACTGGGGGCAGTTTGTGGGTGTGACTGCCAGTCTACTCGAAAACCAGGGACCTGGATGGAGGAGGCCCAGTTCTTATCCGAGCAGGCTTGGAGATCTCAGTCACTGGTCCCGCATACCTTGGTTCCTCTGTTGGTTTCTCATGGGTGAGGTTTGTCTGAGTGTGTGGAGAGTGGCCTTGAGCATGACTGTGGCTGGGTTCTGGAGGTTTTTGGCTGTGGGGGCTCTGCTCAGAACAGGGAGGGAAACTCAACCCGCCCCCCTCCGAGGGGCAGGGATGAACATCATGGATACAGGACTCCATGTTTCAGTGCCACTCAAAGTAAGGAATCTTATACATCCAAGATCCCCAAATCCCTTCCAGCTGAGGCAGAAACCAATAATCAGCAAAAATGAGCAAATACAGTCAAAAGATTACTTGGGTTCCTGATGGCTTAAGAGGTTCTACTCACATAAAATGGAAGATATTTATAAAACTGTAATTTCTAACTCTTGTTGGAAACCCCAATATCTGCAGTAATGATGGCTAGAGTGTTTACTTTTACATGAACTAGAAGACAGACTGTAAAAGGGAAAAAGCTAGGTAACTTTTAACTATCATATCCAAGTTGACAATAACAAAAGAAAAATTGAGAAACTCTTTTTTTAAAATTGTTCTTTTTCTGATTTGTTTTAGCATTAAAAAATTGAGTCAATGTGAATTATAAAGTTACAATGATATATATGTTGAGCTTCAGGTATATATTGTTCACAAACACCAATCCCTTTACCAGAGTCCATTATCCTGCACCAGTATCCTCAGTTTTCTTCTTGTCCCCCACCTCTAGCCTGCCTCTGAGGCAGTCACTTGTCCCTTTCCCCCTTATCTTACTGTTCCCTTCCTTAACTTATCCACCTCACCCTGCCCCAGTGCCAAACTTCCTACTGAAGACCAGTTCTCCTGATCTTTGTTCCTATTGCCATTGGGTATTTGATATTCCCCTTCTGGAGAAACTCCTGTGACAGCACATTTACTGGTTCATATTCATCACTGTGTATGCTAGAGGAATTCTAAACTTAA